GTTTGTTAGAGGAATAGTTAGTGGGCGGGTAGTGTCCCCATGGTGTTGTCAAACCCCTGTGACTCTTTCTTGGGATCAGTGAGGGTGAGTTAGCTGAGCCTGGGAGCCCACTGGAAACAGCTTCATTGAGTTCCAGGACAAAGAAAGTTGGCTTAAGTCTCCCTCTCACAAGTTTCCTTCTTTCTCCCTGCAGGAGGCGAAGGGAGGAGCTAAACAAGAGGGGAAGGTGCGCCTGCCTGGCTGCACAGGTAGGTCAGAACTCCTCGGGCAGTCTCCCAGTGCCATCCCTCTCCACTGCAGTTCACGAAGCAGTAAAGAGCCCTCGGAGGAGTGACGGTCCATGAAGCTACTTGTTTTCAGGGTGTCACAGCCTTCCCAGGCCTGCCGCCTCCGTGTGAGGAACTTCCCTGGAGTCAGACCTGTCAGGGACCTCACTGCGAGGGAAGGAGGTAGTCTTCCACAGGCAGGGTGAGGGCACGCTTGTCAGCCGCAGGCCCACGGCTAATTGGGGGCTTTGTCTGGGAAATGTCAGTAGGACTTGTTGAGTCCCATTAGAAGCCATTGAAAGTGACAAATGACGGAAGACCTCCACACTCACTCTCTGCTTACCCCAGAGGCTTGATTGGGAGCCCCCCCCGGGGGGGGCAGGGAGTGGTGCCGTGGCTGGGGAGGCAGAGGGACATCCTTCAGACTGCAGGGAGTGGGGCCACATAGCTCAGCCACAGCTGGACAGAAATACAGCAGGGCATGGCTTGCCTTTTCTGCAAATGCACAGAGCTTTTCAGGGTCTGATGGTATGCCTGCAGGAGCTTCAGACATCTGGGGCCTGGGAGGACCCTAGCAGGGCTTCCCTGGGTGCCACTCTTTGGCTCTAGTCTAATATGTAATGGAGACTAGCTCTGGGTCACTCCTGATCTTCCTTTTGGGCAGTCGAGACAGACACCAAATGTGCATTGCATACTAAACATACAGGAGACAGCATGGTGACAAGTGGGCAGAGCTGCAGGGGACAGGCTGCGCAGCTCCCGTGCCTCTGCCATGTGCTGTGTTTCTGTTTCCTTCTTCCCTGTCTGGCTTGGTGTTTACGTGAACTGCTTCCCCCACCGGCACTGCCAATTTAGTGAGGGTCACAGGCACAGGTGTGTCAAAGGCACCAGGGGGTGTCACAGGTATGGGGGCCACAGGCGTGGGGTGGGGTGCACAAACTCAGGCAGGTGAGGAGCTCACCACTAAGCTCCAGCCTGGTGAGCTCCGCCAGGCTTCATTCAGTCCCAGGCTGTCCTCTTGAAAGCAATCTGCCCCCTCCCCTCTCGCCCATCTGGCAGCCATCAGGCCACTCCTGGACGGCTCTGAAAGCCTAATGGATGGTATCAGTCTTGGTTCCAGTTTTAATTCTACAGTGGGGCTTGTTTTCCTTTGTCTCTTCGAGGAGCAGATCTGAAGCTTAGGTTTTTTAGGAAAAGGGTGTCACACAGTTTGAAAACAGAGCTGCCAAGTGCCTCCGGCTGAAGGCAGATAGGGAAATGGAATGCTCTGCCTCAGACTCGTTTATCAGAATTCTGAGGACGATAAGTGGGAGATCTGAAAGGAAATATTCCAGAAACACTGGTAATTTGTCCTCTCCGGTCAGATCATTTGCTCTTCCTACCAAGCGTGTGTCTCTCTATCCAGAGTCCTGGCTGGAAAGGGACTACTGGGTCCTAGCCAGAGACTGAGTAAAGTCTTGCTGCATGCAAGCATTCATCTTGTGTGGGCTCGGGAGCCTGAAGGATGATGACAAAGAGGAAGGCATTCTCTCTCTGGAGATCAGCACACAGCCTAAAAGGCACCCACAGACTTGATAGTTCTACTTTTTAATTTATTTTTGCCTGCATGTATGTTGGTATACCACGTGCATGCAGTACACGCAGAAGCCAGAGGAGGGTATCAGATCTCTAGATTGGAGTCACTGAAGGTTGTGAGCACCCATGTGGGTGCTGGGAATCCAACCAAGGTGCTCTGGAAGAGCAGCTGCCGCTCTTAACCACTGAGCCATCTCTCTAGACCCAGAAGTTCTTTGAAACACACCCACAATCCCTCTACCGTCCCCAGGTTAAAGGTAGGAATTTATAATTGCTAAGTGCCCATGGGTTACTGAGTTTGCATCGTCTTCAAGGCCTGGGTTGAGGTACAGGTGGGGCTGGGAAGACTTAGATATGGAATATTCATTGCAAAATCTTCTTTAGCTGCCTATCTCAGCAGCCAGAGCCCAACAAATGTTGACTTCCCTTGCCCTTCCAAATGGGGCAGATTTGGCAAAATGGCCTGGATTAGCAATAAGTGGGGATGTGCCATTCCTGCATCCCTGGGTACTGGGACCAACTTCATTTCTATTCATCACTTCATCCTACCTGCTGCTTTCTTACAGCAGAGTTAAGCAAACAGCTTTTGCAATTAAGTACCTTAAATGAAAGTCTGATCTTTCTGCATATATGTGCACATGCTCGCTCCTGGACTTAAGGGGAGTACACACAAACCCATCATGAGTTGAAAATATTCTAAGACAAAATGCATTTATTATACCTACTCTACAGAACAGCAGTATGGACTAACCTGTGCTCAGTTGGCCAAAGCCACCTACTGGAATGTCTCACAGGGTACCTGTATCCAAAAATACTAGCCACTAAGTTCCCTGTAGGGTGTTGCCTGTCGGTGCATATGATCACATGGCTGCCTAGGAACAGCTGCCACCTAGCACCTCAAGCTGCTATCATACTGTGCTGTGTCAATAACCCAGCAAAACCCAAATGGAGAGTATGGTTCCTACCGAGTGAAGAGCTTTGACAACATTGCAAAGTTGAAAAATCATCCATCACTCAGGTTCACACACACACACACACACACACACACACACACACACACACATATAGTGCACACCGGCAACTGTGTGTGGATGTATTTGTGCATACATATATCTCCTTTTTCTCTTTTTCTTTCAGAGTATCTTCCAGATATTTGAATTTGGAAACCTGACCCTTCTAGGGTTGCTGTGAAGATTTGGGGAACTGATGCATGGGTGCACATGAGCACTGATACATGGGTACACATGAGCACTGATGCATGGATGCACAGGAGTACTGATGCATGGGTTGCAGGAGCACTGATGCATGGGTGTGCAGGAGCATTGATGCATGGGTGCACAGGAGCACTGATGCATGGGTGC